CCAAATGTCAATCTAGTGATTTTTCCAAGTGGTTGAGTTTCGCATGGTTCTTCTCTCAAATTCTGTAGTTTTACCATCAGGATCAAATCTCGACGGACGGGATCACAAGTGTTGCTAGATTAGATCGCAGTTCAACACAATGAGAATGGCATCGGTATGGAGATTCCGAAGGCCGTGTCAGGGATTTTGACGTTTGGAGTAAAGTCAGAAAAATAAGCTAAGTCTACCCAGTTCAACCCATCAATTTGATGGATTGGACTAAAAAAATTGATCTATTTTTTAAGATCAACTAGACTAGCTCAATTTACAAAAATAACATGTTAAAATGGGATGATTTGAGGACTGAACGGACTGACTAAGGGGCTGGATTATTTAAAAGAAAGATAATTTATTTTTTTAATCACAATATATCTCCTTATAAATTTATAATAATAAAAATATTTTTTAAATTTATAATTTATAAATTCCAAACATATTCTTTGCAGTTGAAAGATAATGTAAATTTTTTTATAATTTACAAATGAAATTTTTGTTACAATATATAAATCAATTATGTATTATTTGTTAATCTCATAGGATTTATTGATTGAAATTAAAAATATAAATTTATTAAAAAAATAATATGAGTTTATATTTAAATTTTAATTTAAAAATAATATGAGAAAAATTATTGTCTATATATATATGATATGTTGATTATAAATTTTAAATTATTTTTAAAAATAAAATTGTATTTTTGCGGGTTGGTTTAGGTTTTCCTAGCCTGTATATCTTAGTGGGCTGATCCAACCCAATCCGCCAAAACCATAACCCACATCATCTGTCTTGGAACCCGTTTGTACAACTCTAATTTGGAGGTAGAGTACCCACGTATTTGATTTTCTTTTAAATCAAAAGTCATGACAAATATTAATTTAGTAAAAATCGAATGTTGTAATAAAAATTTTATTTAAGTACATTTTTTAAAAAATAATTTAATAAATTAAAAGTTGTTTATTACTCTAATTTTATTTATAAGTCACTTATAATATGTTTTATCAATTTCAAAGAAAACTTTAAAACTCATTAACTCTGTCTTAAAATTTAATAAGTTTTCAACTTTACCCTTATTACACACTTCAATAACATAATTTTTTTTTCTAACATTCAATAGAAGGTAAAAAAAAATTATGATAAAAATTTAATGATATGATTTATAAATAGGACTATAAAAATTATTCTCTCTCTATCCTATAAATAGGATTAGAGGGAGTAAATTATTGGGGTGAACTATGTTTTTGAATAATGTACAATTATCAAAAAAAATATTGATTTATGAAGATTCATAATTTTTATTATAAACATATAATATATTTAAAATATTTTTAAATTTTGAAAACAAATTAAATAACATAAAATTTGACATGTTAAATAAAAATAAAGTCTGGTATATTAAAAATCATATAATAAATAGTATAATACATACTAATATTGAAAATTAACATGATTCAAAAAAATATAGGAGCATGATAAATTTTATTATTTAAAAAAATTTCAACTAACTAGAGAAACCTTTGTTGGTTAATGAAAATTTTAAATGACATAAAGTTTGATATATTAAATAAAAAATTGTAAAATATAAAACTTGATATATTGGACAAAATTTTATCAATATTTGAATATATATTAATGCTAAAAGTTAATATGATTAATTTTTTAATTTATAATACTAAAAATTTGATATCTAATTGTTATTATTATTTAAATGATGGTTATATTTCTAATGTGTTAATGATATTTTTTAAACAAAAGAATAACAAATTAAAGTTGGGTTAACAAAGTTAAATAATATCCCACTCTTTAAATTTAATTTTCAAAAACTCAATGCTTTTAATCTATCAAATTCACTTTCAATAACATTTTCAAATTATTTTTATTATGTACCTTCAGATCTTTATTTTTTTCAAATAATATCTCACATTTCAAAAATAAAAAATACTTATCAAATTAAATTAAAAATAAATTATCCAAACACACCTGAAAAAATGGTATGGATTTTGTTCTAGTAGAGAGGATTTATTTCAGGGAATAGAGAGGAATTTTTTTTGAATCATGACTGGGGTTAGGGGTTGGTTTTGGTGCTCATTAGGTGACGAGCACCTTGATGAGCAATCTGATTCAAATTTTTTAATTTTAATTTTATATTTATTAAAATATAAAATATAAATTTTTAATAAATTTATCTTATCATCAATTTGGATAATATATATTTAATTTAGATGGTTTAATTTAATATTATTTTTTAAAAATTTTATAAATTAACTATCCAAATATACTTAGAAAGTTAAAATCTAGTTTGTCCGGAGTATATTTAAATAATTAATTTATAATTTTTTTAAAAAATAATATTAAATTAGATTATTTAAATTAATTTTATATTGTTCAGATTGATAAAAAGATAAATTTATTAAAATTTTATAATTTTTTACATTAAAAAATAAAAGTTATAAATCTAGACTCTTTAGATGACGAGCACGCAACAAAACCAGACTCCTGGGGTAGGCGTCCACTTTGATATCATGTGATGCCGTGTAGGTCATATTCGGGCACCACATCTTTAAGATTACGGCCATTTGCTCTAACGACAGGGGTTAAATTGGTCTGGTTATAAACGTTTTTAAGGATGAGAATAAGGATAAAAATGCATTAAGATTGAGTTTAGAACATTGCATGTAACTAAGAGTATAGTTTAGTGGAAAAAATAGATCTCAACCCTAAATTAATAACATAAAACATAGTAGTCCACGTGGTTTGATATAATTCTAATTAGTTATACCGTGGTATGACTTTTACAAGTAATTAAAAAATTGGTGATTTAGCAGCTTTTGCTGGTGGGACGGCTCTGAAAAAATAAAAGTAGGGATGAAAAGGAAAATTGTGAGCGTAGTCTTAAGCGCGGGCAGTGCTTTCCCTTCGATTTAATTTACCCCCACTTATTCTAATCTTTGGGTGCAAGATTGGTTGATGGCAAATTTTTTTCATGACATAACGAGGACCATTAGATGTGGTTTGTACTATCAAAATGCAAGCCAAGATAACAAAATTTTTATAAAGTAATAATTTTATTTTATTTTTTGTACATTCAAAAAATAAAGATAGTGAATTTTAACATATGGATGCCCAAAATAAGTAATGGTGATAGATGTTGATAAATACTGAAGTGATGTTTAAAAATAATACTTTTTGAAAACTAAAGCTTTCTTTAAAAATTACAATCAATATTGGTTTACAACTTTTTGTTGTTCATAATAAATCTTCTATTATTCATAAACATCTTTTTGTATTGGTTCTAAACTTACATCGTTTAATAATCAATATTAACAAAAAATTATTTATAATAACTTTGTATGGAAAGAAACCACCTTTTAACATGTAGAGTTTTTTTTTTAATTTATTTCCTTTCATCAAGTGATATTTTTTTAATTTTATAACTTTTTAAAGGTAATTTGAGAATTTCAAGAGATGTGACATTATTGATTATAGCTTTTTACACAACATTTCACAAAACTTCTTTAATTTATAGGGATGTAACCCCTTAATTTATAAGGTATGACTTAAAGAAAAACATTTCTTCATTATTCTAACACGTTTTCAGTAACAAAAAGTTTTAAGGGTTGTTTCCAAAAATACTGTAAGAAGTCGAACATTATTATTTGTAAAAAATAAAATAAATCATTCTATTTATTAGCTGTCAACGGTACTTGAATTATTTTTCAAATCAATCTTTATAAAATCAATCCTGCGAGGAGCTTGGATCTAACACTCATCGTCCCATACCGCCGTATTACTAATACCTGCAAATGCCATGCCATGCGCTGAGTCCGGATCTATTAATGTACAAGTTCAATTTTATTATCTAACTAAATCTTCACTTTTCACGCTTAAGGAAAACATATTATTAAAAGAATTTGGTTTATTACTTAAAACAGTATTCTTTTTTTTCAGTTAACATTTTAAAATATTCGTTTCTTTTAAATATAATATATCAGTGGATCAGGGCAATTGGCCTTTTAGGTCATTCGAGAGGATCCCTCATATTGGCTGACGCATGAATCTGCAGATATATTTTTTAATGCAATAAGGTCATATCAGATATCTTTCAAACGCATGCGTGTAAACAGGCCAGAACGTGTTGAACCCAGTGCTAGCTGTACGCTCTTCAACAATTGTTACAAATAATGCTCTTTGAAAACACAAGTATACGTATGTGTGAATTACAATATATAAATATTAAAAGTGACATCTTTTTTATAAAATTTCTCAGCGAAGCCAACAACCATATGAATAAAAACATCTAGGACAAAATGTTCAACATCGTTGAACATCAATAATCATTTTAGTCATTTGCGGGCACACCTAAATAAATACCTCAAGTAAACGATTTAACGCTTTTCTTAATTAATCATGACATAGTAGAAAAACCTTCAATGCATGTGTTATAACTTCTGCGATTATGGATTAGCTTACAAAGGTTTTTTGGACTCTGATGAAAATTATTAACAACGGTGAGTTATTAGGGGAGAGGAATCGCGCAAAACAAAAACAATATAATATAAAAGCTGATATAAACCTATTTATTCTGGCATACAAATTCTCATACACGTAGGCCGTGTGGCTGTACAAAATACGTCCACGACTAGCCGTTTTTCCAAGGAAGAGTCCTAATTTATAAATACGCTAGCTTTACCCATTTACTTTATTCAAACGTTTTATTGTCATGGCCTTAATAACTTGACCATATATAGTATTCTATTGAAAATCATCGATTTTAATTTAGCGTTTCTCTAGGAGGGAGAATATTGTTTGTATCGTAACTATGGTAAGAATTAGACTAATTAAATAGATATAGATGCTCGTGGAGCAGCTTCACTTTGAACTGGTCCAAACGTGCAGGAGGGGCGTGAGTGAAATCTTATAAGAGAAGCATATCTCTATGCATGAGCCAAGTCAACCATTCCTAAGTTTGTCTGATCTCTTTGTCTTATAATGCCTATGCAAATTCTCGCATGTACCAGGTCTTCTTTACCTAACTTGTCCGTCATTTTCTTTCCGTGTTTGTTTTCAAAGCCAAAAGCTAACAAATTGTATTCCAGCCTCATGTTGAAGGCGTTGTCCTTTTGAGTGCTGATGACGTTAAGATCAGTCCAGTGCTATTAATTTTGTCATACTCCATATATAAGGATTAAGAAGGCCACTCAATCATCAAACTTCACCAAATAGCGAAACACTTCAACTCTTAAGCTTGGAGCAATCGATGGATGGATCGATGAGTACTGGTAATGATTCTTCCCAAGGAAACGTGCCCTTCTCATGGGAAAAGAAGGCCGGCGTGTCCAAGGTACACCAACCAGAGAGCCTCACGAGAGAGGAAGAGCTGCTGCATAATCTACCACCTCCGCCTTGCACGACGGAAGTAGGCGGCGGCGGCAAGATGAACTGTGGAGTTCAAGATATTCAGAATATTCCACTGCCTCCGTGCGCGTTTCAGCCTCCTTTCTACAGAACGTCATCAAAAAAGGGACTGTGGGTGCAAGACGACGATCCTTTCTTGGCTGCTTACAGAGAGTGCACCAAGACTCGAAAACTCGGTCGCAACAAGAACAACCGTGAATCGGTGTTGAGGAAGAGCATGTCGTTCTTCTCCTGTAAGCGATCCTGCGCTGTTCGGAACAATAACTTGGTCAGGATCTCTCACGTCTCAGTCCCACACAACGTCCATAAAGATTAATTCATCTTTGTGTCAGCCTAGGTTTTTGTCTTGTTCCAGGGCCGTTTGCTATTCGCTGTTCTGCGCTTTCCTTCGTCTTTCTTCATTTATATATACTATAGAAAGGAAAATTTGTAAACAACATTTAGACAGTGCAATTCACGACTTTTCCAATTTCAATTTCGTTTTTCCACAAGTGTGCGCCTGGATTAGCACCTAAATTACTAGCATCACCCATTGGATCAGCTTGCAACGCCAAGTCCAAACTACACCTAGTAGGGCAGCAAGCATTCTGTTCGAGTTTATAATAATACACAACCTCCATATGATATTTTATTTTATTTTTTTTCCAGGTATTCTCTCAATGAATGCGGTGTACGTGGATACGAAAAACTACACTTGCTGTGCTTGTTTGTCTTCCGCATTGCTGTTCGGGTGATTCTAAATAAATAACATTAAACAATGATAATAAAATTCTAATATGCGTTTTTGTATCGTAATCAAATTAAAGAAGACAATCATGAAACTTAGTCGGCCAAAAAGTTAAACACTAGTATATAAAATAAAAGGGAAACATTTTTGTATGGCACAGTAAAAAGGTTTTGTATTGTGGGGACGGGACTTGACTTTTTGTTAATATCTGGCTAATCCTAGACAGAAACTGAATGGAGACATCTTCCAACCATGCTACGGAATTTTTTCCCTTTAATCTGATACAATTTGATTTGCGTATATTCTCAGGGCCGGTTAACGCCATAATTCTGGTAATTTCCTTTGTTTCGTGATCACGCCATTTATGGATCCAACTCTGGTGGGCCTGCTAGTTAGGGCATTGGATTAAACACACACAATACTTTTTGGGCCATTCAGTATATCCATATATATGATCAAATCCATGAAAGCTTCCCATTAAACAAAAACATTACAACCACCTATGCCACAGGAAAAATAAATTTCTTTTCATGTGTGCCGTACATGGGAACAAAAGAACATGTTAGGACTTTACATGTGTTTAGGGTCTACTCCAATAGCCTGATATTCAGTTTTTTTTTTTTTTTGGGTTAAAAAGAAAGCATAACAATTGGACCTGGTTTCCTTCATCAGAGCGTGCGGGCAGAAGAGGGAGATCAAGATAAGAGGGAGAGACTGAACAAAATGGAGACAAGCTCCAGAGGAGGCACTGGAGCAGCAGATTGGATGTGGATTCTGAAACCAAGAAAATCACACAAACATGGCAGTGATCGCAGAAGAGGTCTAGAGAAAGGTACATGACATTAACTTTGATTTTGTTCAGGCTCATGATGAAGCAACATTTACATTATATGCTGATAAACGCTTCAATGACTGGAAACATTGGGACGATGATTCCGCAGTACCATTATCTCTTTCTTTTCTCTGGGATCGAAGATTCAGCTATACTATTTCAGCAATGATTTAATCCTTACCCATTCTGCTCGAAATCCCGAACGAGGATGTCGAATTGAGCAGCATTGCAGTGGGAATTTTGATTCAAACTGAAGTATATGCAATATCATACAGAGCCTAACCCATATACGGTAGCCACTCGAATGAATTAGTGCAGTGGCAGAGTTGAGTGGCGTGATTGCTAGGGATACTCTGTTTAATAGTGTGGTACTGAGTCTAGGCGATAAACTAGACAATGAAAGCAGCGATTAATGAGAGGAGAAGTCATCATTATGCCCCCACGGGAATTTTGGACTTGCTTGTGACTATCGCTTTTAATTTTTGGAGATAAGGAGGGGAAAACTCTTGGCCCCTGTATAATTTGTCGTCTGGTGGTTTAAATGTCTACATCCAACAAAACTATTACGATTACACATTTTGCCTTCGCATTTATGGCCTCCAATATAACGTTTTTATCTGATTAGCTGCCAGTTTATCAGATAACTCCAAAGCCCTATGCATGTATAGTTGTCTACAATGACAGACGCTGCTCTAACTGTCTTATTCAGTTTGTGCTATAATGATTACTAAGATTGAATACCGGTAAATCACGGACTACTGTTCTGTAATATACTGGTTGAGCGAAAAAAAATGCCCATTTTCATTTACTGCAAAATTTTCTTTCTTTTTCATTTTTTTGGTCCTCAATATAATATCTATGGTTAAAACGACTATATGAGGACATTTTGATGATGGTGTTTAAAATGAAGCTGACAAATAAGACCGGGTCATTATTAAAGGTGCGAAATGGGTCACAAGGATTCACGACTTAAATGAGTCGTTATATAGATGGTGGGAAGATATCAACCATTTCTGATACAATTTCGTTGTTGATGCAATCCAAAATTGCATCGGCAACCTCAAAGCTAATATCCTTCATATGTGGCTCCAAATCACTCCATTCATTGATTGATTTCAAGTGATCCGAAGTCAACAAGTTTGTGAGGTTTTTCCGATCTCCAGCCTGTTGACCCCACTCTCTCGTTTTCTGACAAATGAGGTTACCCAACTCCTCCGCCCCCAATAATTGTTTGAAACCTGTCTGTCCCTCGCCTGTTCTTGGGAAGCTTGCTGCAATCTCTCTCACACAATCAAATAGGAGTTGCTTTGTCTTGTGCAATGCTCTTTTAGATTTCAACACTTGAGAAACATTTGTCCCAAGAATCTCTCTGAAGTCCTTGCTAATGCTATGTCCATCTCTCTCAGCTGACTGAATCAGCAGTCCCCAGAAAGCAGCTGATAATAGCGAGTCTTCTGTGATTTTCTTGGGCATAACAACTTCTCCGCAATTCAATATTCTCTGTTCCCTTCTCCCAACATCCTCCTTCACTCTCTCATCTGCCAAACAAACTGACACATGTTAAAAACATAAAAACATGGTTCAAAACTAAAGAAAATGGTTAAACCTGCGCTTGTCATGTGTGATGTTACTTACTATTTTGGGATACTTGGACTTTACGTGATTGTATCCTGTCCAGTAAAGCAGGGCTTTGTTCTATGTATCTCCAGCGGTGCTTTTCATTACTAGTAGCCTGCTGGCTTTGTTATTGAGAGTAACCAAACTAATTAATATATTTTCCCTAAAGTAGTAAGATTCTATTGTTTTCTAGAATGAATAGCTTTACTCTAGGTAACTAAATTTGAGTTTGTACCTCTTCACCGCAATATTGCATGCATTTGAAGCACTGCAAGTGTCTGAAATAAAAGAAGGCTGATCTTTATGTGATGATATCCAAGTCTGCTCTTCAATTTCTCCCGTCTCTGAGCATGAATTGAACAGGGTGGAGCTACTAGCGGATGAAAATCTGTCTGTTTCCACAACCTTCTGAATAGCCCTTTCTGTCTGAGGAACACTGACCGCATCTTCATCTCTATTGTCAGAGTCTCTGGTTATAGGGGTTTCGCTATGGGCAGCAAGCTTCTTGTATACAGATGTTAGAACTTCAGAAAATGAAAGCAGAGCCTTTCTCTTCTTGTTTAACACACAACTTGCTGACCTCTCCAGACTCTTGCCTGAGTCTCCAATGTCGAAGCCGTTGCCTCCTTGATCTTGAGTTAAGTTCCATTTTCTGGAACAACCTCTTTCTAGAAGGTAAAGCTCTAGGACAAAAGGTTGCTGTTCCTCGTTTAGAAACTCGCTAAGCTTTTTCTGTGGCCTGGAGGTTGAAGCCATAGTGATGGCAGGAATTTGAAGGGCTTGTTGAAATTGGAATGTATGGGGGTGTACAGGAATAGAAGATGAGGTTTGCAAATTCGGGTGGTTAAATGATGGCGTGAGATGTGCAGAGAAATAAATTTGGATGGCCAGCATATACCGTCAGAATGAGATGTCATAAAGCTTGGGAAATTATTAATAAAGTCCTTATAAGTTCCAAGCTTTCCTAGTCTTAAAAGGTTTTGAATTTCATTTTAAATGAATTGCACACACTTTAAGGGATCGCTTTACTTGATCTGCATCCATATTCAATGACAATGGTCCCATATAAAAATTGTCATATATGTGGAGATCAACCGCTATGACAATATAGCTGATTGGAACAGAGACCGAAAGGACAAGTTCACCTAAGATGGTTTTGAGCCTATGAATATTGATGCCACCATCGTCAGACGAAGCCACTTTACTGGTCTCTGATAATTTGATACTGGAATTTCTTACCTAATCGAAACATCTCTCATGTTTTTAATAACGAATATGTACTCTTCCTTTTACACTTTAAACCTTGTCGTGTGAGGGAGATAGTATTGCTTGTATGTGAACATATGATAATTACCCAGTTAAACTTAAATCGAGAAAGGATAAGTTCTGTAGAGTGTGTAAATCGTTGCTTGAAAGTGGGGATGGCTAAACAAAATGATTAGACACATAATGCAATAGCAACGTACTTTCTTGTTAAACAACTCTTCAATTGCAGTGCAGGTGGGGGGGGGGGGGACGAAGATGGAACATGGTAAAAGTGAGAGTTAATGGGACAATTGTGTGGGCTTAGCCTCTTTAAGCAGGACAGGTGGAGATGGTTTGACCGAAACTCATATTTTCTGTTGTCTTTTATTTCCATTAGGTATCCTTCTCGGGGCAGTTCTATTCAAAACACGTTCTAAGTATTAAATATAAACATCTTTCAGTGAGAATTTTAAACTCATTAATAGAAGCAATGCGATTATTATTTTATCGTTGTTAATTATATGTAATCTCTAATAATAATGTTTTCAAAACGCATTGCAACCACCAATTTCGATTTGTCTGCATGCCACGCAATCAAAATCCAGTCGGCGATTCTTAGCTGTTTGCATCACGGGCTGCACTTATAAATTCTGTTGTGGGGTTCCTTGAAAATGATCAGGAGCACAAGGGATAACTGTCTTCTGCTTCAGATAACGTGTGAAATAGAAAAGCATTGTTGTTCATAATCATACCCAGGGTAAGAAGAAGGAGGAAAAAGCACACCCACCTTGCACGATCATCGAGTCATCCAAATACAGAGCACTTGACATTTAAGGAAAAGATCAATTAAGCACTGGTAAAAATTTATATTAATTAAGGATCACTTTTTTATCAAAATTTGAATAGACATTTGTCGATGTTGATTAGTTTTTTATCAATAAATAATTTAAATTTTAATAACTTATTCTAAATTAATAACAATTTATTTAAATTTATTGTCTATTTAAATTTTGATAATAATTGATTCTCAATTGATATAAATTTTTTTTGATAGTCCTTAGTTGTTATTTTCCCTTATATCATTTGTAACTTTTTTAAATAGAGATAAATTTTAAAAAGTTGTTTTATTTTTAAACAATTTATAATGATTTGACTACTTTTTTAGTTTGGATGAGTTAGTTAGAAGTGTCATATGTATTTTTAAAAAATGAAGAAGTAAATTACATCTTTGAAAAAAAAAAACAATAAGCTTTTGGTTTTACAAACCTAGGAGCAACATCTTACGAATGACTTATTTGAACTTAGATTGAAAAGCGGATCAAAAGTTTTATGAAATAACTTAAATATTAACATATCATCTAAGTTTTCGTAATCTTTGAAGGTCTCAACTTTTATGAAGATTTTAAATTAGACATGTTAATGTTTGCTACAACTTAACAAAAGCTATTAATCTCATTCAAAATGAATACACCTAAAACCACACATCCTCTTATCAAGGATATCGGAAAGTTCAGAAATTTCCATATATGAGATTGAACTATCACTCTTCGTCATACTTTTGAGAAAAACTAACCGTTAATTGTGTAGATAAACTTGATCATATCATAGATCACATATATATATATATATATATATTGGGTAGAAATAGATCATGATAATTTTGATATCAAGATTTTAGCTCTGCCTGTTAGGTAAAGGGAAATTTTACTCTCCGAGATGATTTAATTGCCTTTGTTCTGCACAGTTTTCTTTGTTGCCTTGTAACTACAAAAAGAAGAAAGAAATGCAGAGTAAAAGGGCTAGAAGGCAAAGACACACGATTCTTGCCAAATAAAGATGTCATACTCTTAAATTTAAGAGGACGGAGTGTGAACTAGCATCGATATTAAATTGGAGATACAGAAGCTCCTATAAATTATATCGCCTGTGTCTAACTGATGTAATTTAAAATATCTAAACAATTTTTTTAAAATGACTTTACGTGTCACAAAATGGTTTTGTACCATAGTAAATAAGAACACTGTTTGGTAGAACATTTTTAGATGTTGACTAAATATTCTTTTTTAAGTTCAATTATGAATACACTCAAAAGTAATTATTTGTGTTGATTGGAGCTTTAAAATTATCCTCCCTACTTTTTATATGTACCAAGTGTTATATACTTCAACACCATGATGATAATTGGACAAAATTCATAATTTTCGTTTTGGGAGATGGGTGTCCGTGAATTGAACCACCTAGGTCCATCACTGCATGGCCTTCAGAGTGTTTGTTAATCCTCATTCAATAAGAAATTCAGAAGAACTATGCTGCAAATCGAGTGTCCTGCTAGTAGAACAGTCTGCACAAGAAAATAGGACACGAGACGGAACTAAAGGTTCTTTGATGTGGCTTGATGTTCACAGCCTCCTAATCTAACACTTGAATAAATCTATCAGTCACAATATATATTCGTTAAATTAATTGTTCAAGAAAGCAGTGACGCCAAACAGATTGATACCATAGTCATGTCCCTTGAGCCTAACTAGTTGCAATGATCTAAACGAATCAGCGAGGCTAGAACCTAGAATCTAAATAAATATTTCGTGACAGTATAGGGTTAATCTCCAATACAAAAGAAACAGAAGGCACAAAGAAACTGCCCGTTTACTGCATATCTAGTCTCGACACCCAAGAGATTTGGGTACTGAGATTGTAGTCTGAGCTCTTAATTTCTCAACTGTGGTCCTAAACTCATCGTGGAAAGACATGAGTGATCTCTGACGGGAGGCAAAAGCCGCAGTGAACTGCTTAACCTCTCCTTCGAGATGTATTCTTCTCTGTACCTCGGTATTTAAATCCTTCAATGTATTTTCCTTTTGGTTTGAAACCATTTCAAGTCTCTGGGATGATTCAGAGACCATCAGAATCAAAGAGTCTCTTTCCTCTTTTAAAAGTAGAAACTCCCTTTCCAAGCTATTATAGTTATCTTTTGAAACTTCCAGAAGGCAATTATTGATACTAACCTCCTCCTCTAAGCCCCGGCACCTTTCTTTGATGGAGTTGAGTTCATCGCACAGCTTCTCCTTTGAAATAGAAGTTTCTCCCAAATCAGAGCCCTTTGTCAAAAAGAAATTAGTTTAAGAAAACCAATAACCTACAATGCTTTGCCTCAGATTCTAGCAAGAATGCAGTTCTATCTTCTAACCTACGATACTCTTCAAAAAACAAGTGCACACTACAGTTCACACAATGTGTGATATTATACTAAAACCTTAACTCTACGTGCAGTTCTTGCTGCATAAGTTTTCATTTCTCTCTTTGGAGACTGAGAACCTTCTATAACTCTGAACCGTAGTTCCTTGGTCACAGTCATTTTAAAACAAGGTTCAATGACTTTCTGAAGACACTAATTTAAACTCTATCAAGTGATTGATTTGATTGTTTATTTCTTACTACCCGATAGAAAATCCTCTGAGCTGTTCCCACGTAACATCATATTCAATAAGGTTCACTATGACGGTGCTGTATGATTATGACGGACTACTATTCAACAGATGTAGCAAATGGAATCTCATAATATTTCTAATAATTTCTTCGAGAGAAATCATTCATTTTAAGGTTTCTAAGAAAAAGTCGCGACTAATGAAAATAAACCACGATAGGGATAATCTGTTATCTAATATGAAGAGCATGTCTTATTTTACAAGGGCACCATGAGAAGCGCATCTGATTAACTTCCATGGATTGACATTCCTCAAGGAATAACTATAATGAGTAAACAATGGCTTTCTCTGTCTTGAAAGGATATAGAATGAAACGTATGAGGAAACTACTACATTTCTTGAGCATTAGCTTAGTATAAGCTATTAGACTGATGCCATACTGGCTTCAGGTGTTAAGTGTGTGATTCACATTTAAAGCATCAAAATTCTGAGAAAGGGCGTAAAATATCCCAAACATAAGACACAGAATGCAAGCACAATTAATGATTGATATCTTGATATTTGTGGCCAGACAACTACCTTAAGTTTGCAGCGGCAAAAGGGACCCCTCTCTTGTTCCTTCTCAGTGATTGTGCTTTCTGATGACTCCAATGACGTGATTATAGTGTTCAGCCTCTCATGAAGTCGTTTTTGTTGTTCGTGAATCAAAGCACCGTTCCCGGTGGAAGACCTGCCATCATCCATGTCTCCCGTAAAATGAGCTTCTAAAGTAGCAAATAGCTGTGCTCCTATTTCAGTCATGGTCGAAAGCACTTCTGCAGCCGACAATTTGCCGTCCGATACAAATCTCTGTTTAAAACACAGGAGACAATTAATTTTCTTTCTCTGTTAGATCGGGCAAACAAGGGTTTAAAGAAGCTGATTTGCAGCACAGCTCTGACCTGCAATACTGACAAAGCCTCCTCAAAATTGTCTTTGAAGTTTCCAACGGATTTAGATAACCTCCGAGGATCTTCCCCAATCAGTCGTGCTTCTCGTTGATATTCAAGTGTCATAGAAGTTGATTGCTTGTTCAGTTCTGCTCCCTCCGAATTCATTCTCTGGAAGCATATGCATTAACATCAGCCCACAAGAAAGGGAGTGATTAATCAATCAAAGAATCAAAAGGCAAAGGCTTCTTTGTAGATATATACTTCCATTGCTCCGATTCTCTTATAAAGCAACACAAGATGTACTTTCTGTTGACCGAAAATTATGCTTTATAT